AGTGTGTCACTACTGTAGATAGTAGACTTCTCCAGGAAATAAGGGCCCTTTCTAAGCAGATGGAAGGCATGGAGTCCAGGCTGTCTAGTATGGAGAAGGAACTCAAGGGCTTGAAACAAGAGAGATCTTCCACTCAGGATGTCAAAGCCTCTGCCAGTCCTTTAAACTACAGTCGACCTCCATCGCAGGGCAGATGAGAGGTCATTCTTCCCCTTCTAATGCCCCTGCTTCTACATTTCCTCTAGTTGGCTCTTCTAATGAAACTGAAATTCTTCTAAATGGCACTTCTACTATAGCTTTGATAGATACTGGCTCTATGATTTCATCTATTGGAATTTCATTCTTCAAATCTTTAAAGCCTCAGCCTGTCATGTCACAGTTGTCAGATTTTATGTTGGATATTTCTTCTGCTAATGGTTCTAAGGTACCATATCTTGGATATTCAGTTCTTGATATTTCTTTTCCTTCTCTTTCATCACAATCTTTTTCAGCTCCTATTCTGATTGTTCCAGACACAGAGTACTCATGCAGAGTTCCTTTGATAATAGGCACCAACATACTGAACGTTTTGAAGTCATCAGGAACAGAGTCAACATCATCTCCACTTTCAGACATCATATCTTCCTTGACTGACATTGTCACCAAACCTGTTACTCTTCTTCATCATCAGACTGTCATTGTGAAGCCTTTTGAAACAACAACACTTGAGGGAAAGGTGAGACATATTGGCAACATGTCATCTGGTGTTACAGAGTCTACTGATTCTTTTATGTTGAATGTGTGCCCTAGATTGGTTAAATTACAACCTGGTACTTCTTTTTGCAGGGTTCCAGTACGTGTTTGTAACTTGACTGCTAGAGCTATTACCATTCATCCAAGAATGACTCTTTGTAATTTACATGATGTGTCTGTTGTTCGCACCATTGATCCTTCAGAGGGCGTTGCTGATAAATCCCACAATTCAGACAAGTCTCTTGATGACCTTGGTATTTCTATTCCCACTGAAACTTTAACTTCTGAACAGCAGGTTAAGGTAACTTCCTTCTTCAATCAGTGGAAACATATTTTCTCCTCTGGGCCTACTGATCTTGGTTCTACTGACTTGGTCGAACATGAAATCAATCTGTCTGATCCCACACCTTTTAAAGACCCTTATCGCCGAATACCACCAGGGATGTTTGAGGAGGTACGTGAACATTTACGAGACATGATTTCGGCAGGAGCGATCCGTGAGTCCAAGAGTCCTTTTTCTTCCAATGTTGTGTTAGTAAGAAAGAAGGACGGGTCTTTACGTTTTTGTATCGATTACCGGAAACTGAACAACCGTACAATCAAGGATGCTTATGCCCTTCCTCGCATCGACGAAACTATAGATTCTCTCATAGGTTCCACTATTTTCTCTAAACTCGACCTACGCTCAGGTTACTGGCAGGTCCCAGTCAAAGAATCTGATAAGCAAAAGACTGCCTTTAGTGTTGGGCCTCTCGGATTCTATGAGTGCAACAGAATGGCTTTTGGTCTTACCAATGCCCCTGCAACGTTTCAGCGTCTGATGGAGCGTTGTATGGGCGAACTTCACCTTCGTGACTGTTTGATTTATCTTGATGACATTATCATCTTTTCTGATTCTATTGATACTCATTTCCGTCGCCTTCAGTCTGTCTTTCAACGTCTTGAGATGCACAATCTTAAACTTAAAGGGTCCAAGTGTGAATTCTTTAAGCCGCAAGTCCAGTATTTGGGTCACATTGTTAGTGCTAATGGTGTGAAGACAGATCCTGAGAAGATTGAAGCACTCAAGACATATCCTGTACCTACTTGCCTTAAGGAGTTGCGTAGCTTTTTAGGTTTCTCAGGTTATTACAGGAGGTTCATTAAAGACTACGCACAGATCGCCAAACCTTTGAATGACCTTCTTATTGGTATTCCCACCTGCAAAAGTTCTTCTAAGAAATCTAAAGTTCCTTTCAATTGGGGTCCAGATCAGCAGAATGCCTTTTGTTCTTTGATAGATAAACTTTCTTCTCCTCCAGTCTTAGCTTTTGCTGACTACAATAAGCCATTCATTCTTAATGTTGATGCCAGTACTAGCGGTTTGGGAGCGGTTCTTTACCAGGTTGGTGCTGATGGTAAGGAGCATGTTATTTCCTATGCCAGTAGGGGTTTGAGAGCAGGAGAAAGACATTATCCTGCTCACAAACTAGAGTTCTTGGCTCTTAAGTGGTCTGTCTGTGATAAGTTCCATGATTACCTCTATGGTAATTCTGTGGAAGTTAGAACAGACAATAACCCACTTACCTATGTGTTTTCATCTGCCAAGCTTGATGCTACCAGTCACAGGTGGTTATCCTCCTTGTCTGCGTATGACATCAACTTGCGGTACAGAGCTGGTAAAGAGAACATCGACGCCGATACCCTTTCTAGAATTCCTTCAGCTTCTTCTCTTCCTGATTCTAACATTCTCCTTTCAGATGCTGTCAAGGCTCTTTTGTTTTCTCAATCTGAAGGTCCAGGTCAACTTCCAGCTGTTGAATGTATTTCTTTTAACCAAACTGTTCTTTCTCTTAATCCCAGAGACGAGATCGAAGTCGGAAGCAGCCTTAAGTCAATTGATTGGAAGAAGGAGCAGCAAGATGATCCAACACTTTCCCGTTTAGTTCAACTCTTTGAAATTGGTCATAGGTTAACTGAACGCCAAAAGTCACATGAAACGGCCAAGGTTCGGTCGTTTCTGAAGGAATGGAGCAACCTTTACTTTAAGGATTCAATTCTTTATCGTAAAGGTACTTCAAATGGTTATCCTGTTACTCAGCTTGTTCTCCCTGAGCATATGCTTGATTTAGCTTTCCAGGGTTTGCATGATGAGGCAGGACATCAAGGTTGTACAAGAACGATTTCCTTGTTCCGTTCACGTTTCTTTTGGCCTCAGTTAGAGCAGTATATCGAACACAGGGTTCGAAACTGCCCCAGATGTATCCGGAGAAAGTCATTGGATAAAACGACTGCTAAGTTAAATCCTATTCAGTCGAGTTATCCAATGGAAATTGTCTGTATGGATTTTCTTTCTCTGGAGATGTCTCGGGGTGGTTATGAAAACATCTTGATCATTACTGATCACTTCACTCGTTTTGCTCAGGCTATCCCTGCCAAGAACCAAACTGCACATACTACCGCTAAACTTCTCTTTGAAAATTTTGTTTGTCACTATGGTTTTCCTAGTCGGTTCCATAGTGATCAAGGGCGAAATTTTGAAAGTGAAGTTATCCGGGAGTTGTGCAAGTTGGCCAATATTGACAAGACCAGGACTACTCCGTATCATCCACAGGGTAATGGGATGCCTGAGCGCTTTAACGAAACCCTCTTGAATATGTTGGGGACCCTGGAAGATGACAAGAAGGTCAATTGGAAGTCTCATGTTCCCGCTCTTGTCCATGCCTACAACTCTACTCCCCATTCTTCTACTGGTTATTCTCCCCACTTTCTCATGTTTGGTCGCCACCCTAGGCTTGCCATCGATGCGTTTCTTGGCATCGAACCAGACAAATCTCCTGTCAAGGACCATTCTTACGTCTCCGGTCTCCAGAACAGACTAAAATTTGCATATTCTGTTGCACTCCGAGAGGCCAAGAAACAAGGCAAGAAACATAAAAGGTACTATGACCTCCGTGTTAGAGAAGCGGAATTGAAGCCCGGGGATCGAGTACTGGTCCGAAATGTAGGTGTTCGGGGAAAATCAAAACTTGCCGATAGATGGGAAAAAGATGTTTACACCATTCTCAGCCAGCCCACCTCTGGAATTCCCATCTATGAGGTGAAGAAGGAAAACAGCAGGGACAGGTCCAGGGTTTTGCACAGGAACCTTTTACTTCCCTTTATGGGGATGCCTTTGTGCAAAACAACTGAGTCCTTATACAAGCCAGCTTCCTCTGACTTACATTCGGATCAGAACTCGTTCTCCAATCCCTCCTCTGATGTTTCCATTACAGCTTCGTTAGATTCCAATACCTCACTTACATCAAGTCCATCTAATATTTCACAAAGCAATTCTGCCACAATACACGATTCTAACAATTGTATGTCAACTTCTTTTACAGGAACATCAAACAGCAAACAAGATGTCACATCAACAACTCAAACTTCTTATTCTGTTCCAAATAAACCATATCATTCTGTTACAGGTTCAAAATATGTAATTCCTGCACTGAGAAATCCATCTAAGGACAACAACAACAATTTACAGAGGCAGAAACGTACAAGAAAGAAACCCGGATGGATGCTAAATGATAACTGGAAATTAGATTAATGCTTTTTTCTTTTCTTTATAGTATAGGTGTGTCTCAACTTTGAAGTTAGGCGTTGTTCAGTACCTGATGTGTTTCGTTTTATGTTTTATACCATGTACCATATATTTTACCTTGATAATTTATAAATGTACTTTACAGTACTTTAAAAATAAAGGATTTATTGTTGAGAGTGCACCTCTTCAATGAATTCACAGTTCTACTGATAAATTAAAATTTTGTTTCCGCGTGACATATATTTTTCGCGATTCGCGGCATACGGTATTTTTGTGGAACATGCTTGAGTTTAAGGTATTTTGCCCGGGTATTATATATTTACTCACAGGTTGTGATTGCCTTCAGTATTTAGATTTAGTTATGCAGTACCTAGTAGTTTAGTTACTTTATGGTCTAAGCTTACTACTTGCAATGTCTGATTCAAGCTCTTCCTCTTTAATATTTTATGAATGTCGGGGCGACATTCCCCAAAGTGGGGAAGTAACTTACATTTAACTTACATTTAATCTGTTACACTGTGATAAAAAAATACTGTAACTGAATTAAACCCGTTTTAGTTAGTCACTATACAATATCATGAATGATCTTTCTTGTATTGGGTATGCATAGATGTTTTTATAAACATTTATCAACATATAACCGGTAAAGTATACTGATTTAATCTTGAACTATTGTTCTTTAGTTTGTACCATGCGCATTAAATCAAATAATGATTGTTTGTATTAATATTTGCAGTGCTAAAAATTTGAAGGAATTCATGAAACAAAACAGTAATATCAAATACTCCTATGAGATTTAAAATTAGAAGAGTATGCATTTGGGTTATTTTAGTTCAAGTTTTCCTGATTACACTTCATGTGATATTTTACCAGAATTTTACAGGATTAAACGCTATATCAACAAGAAAAAAGGATGTGCTTATATTCACGTACGTACGGAGACAGGCGACAAATAAGACGGTAGATAACACAACAATACACATTGAATATAGGAAAGGCAAGCATAATGATAAGAAGGAGGCATCTGACCGTGACAATCCAGGTAGGATATTTACAAAAATATTACAAACTACAGTTACAACGAGACAAATTGTGGACAAAACTGTTCATAACATAAGTCAAACACGAAAAAGGAAAATGATGTCTCCCGTAAGAAAATGCAACGATGTTGAATTTGATGCTCGTGTAGAAGAGAATTATGATTGGCAGACCGTTGACAATGAGACAGCGTTTGTGTTTTCCTCGTATTATGTAGAGAAAACTAAAACTATCATCATTATCGGGGCAAGGTCACAACATCACATGGGGTACTTCTGTCTCTTTTGGCATGACAACAAGGGGAAACATACAGCGGAACAAGTTGATGCAAGCGTTAAACAGCTTCCTGAAGGTCATGATCTATGGTATGTCAAGCATTTAATAAAACTAACTTGCCTTTATATGATCTTAAAAGAACCGATTTGTTATAGATATCCTGTTTTAGGTTCCCTTGTACAGTTTAGATTATAATACTTTTAGTATGTTAATTCAGTTAAAGAAAAAAAAATACACTACCAAAATGCACACATAAGATTATTGCATTTAAGAACGTATGGAACTCAGAATTATTTCCCTATAAGTTTTGTTCCAGTTTCCCTAAATATTTTAAAGCATTTGTATTGATCTCGTTTGACTCGGATCTGACGTCTGATTCAGTCATTGTCTGTGATGAAGAAGACTACGTCAAATTAACTTAATTATCTAGATCCATGTTTACAAATATGTCTTACGAGACACGTTGTCAAATATTTAAGTGATTTATTTGATTAGAAAATTGTCTTATATGTTATACTTTACATCAAATCGTTATCATGCAAAATCATTATCAATAAAAAAACATTCACCCATTAGCATATCATTGCCATAGTTCTAAAATGTATGTATTGGATAATTCAGGTATTCAGCCGTTTTCTTCGAGTGTAAACTGTCATCACACAATGTCCTACCATCACATGTCTCGGTGGTAAGGGCACCTTGTTCAAAACCAGCTAATATACTGAAGGTACGTGACACGCTGCAACCAGAGCGTTACCCACGTCGCTTTACTGTTTGTCTTACCCCACTGAACACCAACTACGGTCGTGCTTATGAGTTAGTTGAGTGGATCGAATTGAACAGAATAATGGGCGCCGAGAAATTTGTTATTTATAATCATTCTATATCAGATAATATTGCAACAATTCTGGACTACTACAGGGGTAAACATTTGGTAGATATTGTTCAATGGAGGTTACCAATGAATACTGACACAAAAAACGGAACAAAGCTTCCAGAAATTCATTACTTCGGTCAGATAGTTGCACTTCACGATTGCCTATATAGAAACAAAGCTGAATCCGAATTTATAGTCAACATAGATTTAGATGAGTTTATTGTTCCCCATGACAACAATGTCAGTCATTGGAGTGATATGATTAAACAACTTCCAATGGAACCAGGTGCTTACATATTTCGTAGCACATTTTTTAGGAAAGAATGGGAAAACGTTTATCTGTCAAGCAAGGAATTAGTTGATAAATACAGACTTATTACGCTTCAAAAGTTAAATCACGAAGAGCAAATATTCCCTGTAAGACGAAGATCAAAATACTTCGCTCGAACATTTGATGTCAGACAGGTTATGATTCACGGTGTTCAGTTTTTGCCAACAAAGAAAAAAGCTCACTCTGTGCCTGTTGAAGTTGGCCTTCTTCATCACTATAGAGACTGGGAGAATGAAATGTCTCTTCCTGAGATAAAAGTGTTTGATGACACAATACCGCGCAAATACAGTAAAACCCTGATCGAAAGGGTTGCTAAATTATGGTCAATATTGAAAGATGTAAAGATGGATGCAGTTAACTAGTGGATGGATTTTATTTTCAATGGATGGATAGTGAAAATGACTTTCATAAACGCATCTCGTTTAAGTTTTATGATAATAATTATTAGAGAATGATGCATGTAAGTGCTTCCAGAATGTATATAAAAATATATAATATATGAATGTTTTGATCCCTCGACTGTTAGCATATTGTGTTTTCTTGTAACTTAAAATAAAACTTTAACAACTAAAAATTTGTTTATAAAACGCATGTAGTTTGACCGTAGTCCGGTGGAATAAATATAGACATCCTAGAGGGGGGACAAAGCCGATGCAATAAGATATGCAAATTTTGTGTCCTTGATCTGTAAGCTAAAATTTACGGAACCCCGTTATTGTCATTCTATACGTCTGAAAGTACTTATTCCTACAAATAAATTAAACAATAGGTTACAGCCAGAAGTTTTATTAAGTTCATCCTGATATGTTGTAATTGCAATTTTATTTCGAGAAACACTGCAAAATATCGTCATCATGACTTATCAATATTTTATTTAGGGATACATGTACGTCACTTCCGGTTTGAGGTCGCACCTGTATAACAGGGATCTATTTGTTTCTGGATTTTGTAAGGATTATACTAAGGCAGTTACAGATAATTATACGCTTACATCATGAAAAATAAACTTATTTAAGTTTGTTTTAAAAACTCAAATACAACATTGGCACGTAGACATGTACGTATGTTGAGCCTACTTCTCTTTTTACCTTCTTTTCCCTTGTAAAAGTGTCAAACATCTTACAACTCGACTATATAGACAATAATTCTCTGTCAAGTCAATGGACAAGTTTTTCATCTTCTTGAATAATTATTTATTGTTCTCATCTTTAATTAGGTTTTGCTAGATCTATTTTTCAGTTTCATAAGCAACTGTATTAATCAATATACAAACAGATGTCAATATGTCAATAAATGATACCCGTGTTTCGCAAGTAATTACCTTTGCAAGTAATTCATTTTTTCCAGTTCCTTCATAAGGGCATTTCCAAGTAGTTTTAAGTATTGACTTATTTCATGATAAGGATTTTGAGAAGATAAAGTAATCAAGGGGTAGGAGGCAAGGTTCAAGGGACGCATCTCCTATAATATCTTGCAGCTAGAGGGCGTACGTAGAGGCACAAAACAGAAGCCGTGAAAGTTACAATACTTTCTTGGCCGGCTTTTGTTGGCAGAACAGAACAGAACAGATCAAACAGATATTTTATTTAGATTTGCATATAGTAAACCATCCTGTATATACATATAAATAAATGTCAAAAGATATGTAAAAGCATTGAAAGCGCTTACAGAAATAAATGTATGAAAATTAAACGTTATTTATGTTCTGCATTTTACCAAAACTATTTTTGACATATAAATGAATGTATTTGTTAACGTGTAATACGAAAAACTAATGTATTAATTTAAAAGTAATGTTAGAAATTTGGTACATGAAAATCAAAACAATTTATCATGCATAAGGTATAAGACTATGTTTCATACTTTATTTCTTAAAGGAAGAACGTAACGACAAAAGCTGGAATTGAGTTTGTTTCTGAAAACAATAAAAAAACAAGAAGTTGTATTTGATAAAAAAAAAACATGCCGCCGGATAGAAAAATGATTGTATTATCATTAATATAGGAAAATATCAGTTTAATGGTTCATGTAAAAAGAAAAGAGGAACACTTTTTTAAGTAACTGTTCACAATAACATCATATATGAAACAAGCAATATTGTCAAGAAACTGTTTTTATTATTAAAAAAGCAAGTAATAAACTTAGATCAGATAAACAAAGAAAGCAATAAAACTAATGAATTAACAAACTTGAAAAGTGACTAGGAAAATATATATGTTTAATGATTGTAGGAAACAATGCAATTCTTGTGTAATTTTATACTGACTACAAAATTCTAATAATACTAATTATATAAATGAACATAAACGTAAGCAAAACATGTATATTAACAAAAACTTTTATTTTTCTACAAGTTTAACGCTATAAACAAATTCAGTGAATTCAATAAAATTTCAAGTTTGTTAATAAATAGCTCTGAATATATTTTAGTCTTTAGTTGAAATAAATATACTCGTCGTTACATACGATATATATAAAAGATAATGTCTGATTGCCTTTCATTGCGACCAAATTTAATATCAACACAAATGTAGTTTATAAGTTTTCTTTATGTATCTAATACGATCCCGGATCCTAGGCCTCGCGGATCCCGGGATTTCCCCCTACCGTCCTACCGTTTTGAAAACCTGCGCGACGAAAATCGACAGAATATATTATCACTATTTAAAAAATATGCCTCTTTAGCATCAATTTATTTTGTGATGTTAAACCTTAACTAAACTATTAAATTTATTTTTTGATATTTTTGTCCGAAGTTTGACGTTCAAGTTCAACCCTTGACTAAGAAAGAAGGAAAATATTTTGAAAATTTATATTTAACTAGTAAAATATGAGTTTGCAGACCTTTCTAATGATATACAATATTAAGCTGTTTCATGATAAATAATTTTGTAATTATCAATACAGAATTACTATGATTTGCATTTTATCAGCCACCATATCTTTTGCCAACCATTGACAAGTTAAGTATATTTTAGCAGCAAATTGTTACTATTAAAATATTTCATAATAATACAATGCAAAGTGCCGTCCTTGCAAACATGACGTGTATTCAATAACAGTTTATAAATACATTGAATATACTCAACCACGCTTGATTTCATATTTTCTATGACAACTGTTTTCTATGGAAGATAATCATTATTTGCTCCGAGAATTCTGTTCAATAAGTTGTGAATCAGTTTGTTACCAGATTTTTATACTTCACAACAGAAGGTGTCAAGTGCTTTGTGGCAGCTGTAAAAAGTTGCCCGTACTTCATTTCAGTGTTGTTATATTTTTCTGGTTCTTCGGAATCATTGATGCCAGCACTATTAATTGTTGAGATTTGAGTACCGCTCAAGCCGGTGCTAAGGGGCGTGAGGGATTTGCATTTATTCAGTATCCTTCATGTACAGACTCAATCAAACCGAGTCTGCAATTCTTATGTTATTTTGTTGTGATTAATGTTTTGAGGGATCACTTTGTTTCCAGATTTTTATCGTTATTAAAATTTAGAGGGGCAAGGCATACAGTGAAAAGTCCTTTTGTAGCAACTTTCTTTTCTTTTGGTTCAACATTTAGAATATGAAGTGGAGTTCCACAACTTTCATTGACCACGGAAACATAGTCTTGTAGATGAGACGATTGCAACTGACATTCGAATATTGATGCAGAATACCTGAAACAAAACATGTAGATTTTACATTAAATCATGTATCTTCTTTACTGTGAGGCATCTTCACAAACACATTAGAATCAGTCTGTTTTGACTCCATATAACTGTTAGATAGAGGATATTGAATGAATGTAGGTTCAGTACTAAATTTTTTCAACGAGTTCAATAAATTTAGTTATGAAGTCACACAAATATTATTATTCTATTGATCACATACTCAAAATAATCACTGTTTCTTGTAAGCAAAGAATCACTTTGTTGACTGACGCGCTTATAGCAACGCTTTTTTATTCGTATAACGCAAACGACGCCAAGTCAAAATATATTCACGACCGTCTAATACCGTTTTACGGAGTTGCAAAAGAGACACGGGTAATCGATTAAAAAAGTTTTGTGAACGTTTAGTAATATTTTTAATGATTTATTTTCTTTCGGAAATATACGTGAAATTGAGCAAAATTGCCAAATTTTGCATCTTTCGTAGGGCATTTTGGAAAAACTGCTAGGTTCTAAAAGTATGAAATTCATGTACATAAATGCGGTTTTAACTTGTCAGTGGTGTTTATGTTCATTGTTGTAAATTAAAGTTGAAAATTGGCCATAACTATGTAAAAATTTAGTGGCGTGAATCCATACTAGTCTTGACCTGTATTTTATGATGTTTCAACAAACTACTAAAATAATTTCAATGAATTGACACCTTTAAGAAATATCGTCTAAAAATCTTATTTTGTGCAAAATTTAAGGTGAAAAGGAGCAATCACTCTGCAAAAATTTATAGGTCCAAACCCAAATTGACAAGTATTTTACGATATTACATCAGTGTACACTAAAAATTATAACATTCCATGGACTTGTTCAGAAGTTATCATCTGGAAACCTTTTTTGTCTCAAAAATCTGAAGATGAAAAGGGTCATAACTCTGTAAATAGTTAGTAGTCTGAACCCGAATTCGAAAATGATCCCTATTTTATAATGTAACAAAATGTATACCATAAATTATAACCAAATGTCGATTCCTTCAAACGTCAGTATCAATATGATTAATTTTTAAAGACATCATGAAAATAACATTTTTATCATCATCTTCATCATCATCATATTTTTGTGCTTAAAGTAATACTTGTTTCTTTTTAAAATGGCGTTAAAATTGAAGGTTAAAATCAGTTGATAAATACTCCCGATATTTTGAAAAGTGAGGTATTTAAATTACACACTTTTTCTATATTCTATACGTTGATAAGTAATAGTTATAGTACTTGAAACGAGTTAGTTACGAGGATGGCTGGAACGACATCAAGGGATGTTTCTGCAAGAAAAAAATGGCGAGACAATTTTTTACAGAAACATCCCGAGATGTCGCCCAGCCAGTGTTATATCCTCGTAACTAACGATTTTCTTGTACTATAACTGTTTAATCGCAATGGCATAATGTTTTCTTTTTTGTAATAGAAATAAATAAATAGATAGATAGATAGATAAATAAATAAATAAATCGTTAGCTTCACTTCAGTTATTTATCGTAAGGCAGTGTTTTTCAAGTTGTTTTAGCTTCCGCAAAAAGATATATAAAAGACATCCAATAATAGAGGCGGATTGTACTTTTACCAATATCGATTCAAGATTAAATGGCTTTTTTCAGTGGAAATTATTCATTGATCTACCTTTTGATTAAATGAGAGTAAATTTCATTCATTAATTATCTTTGTTTATATTTTTCATTGTATTATTATTTATTTAATTTTATTGATTCCATTATTTTGGCTACTGGGAATAATTGTTACCACTGCCCCATTGGAGCCTCTGTGAAAAATACTACATTGTTATATACAAGGTGCGCGCTATGTAGCAGTCGATCTTTTTACTTTATGAACAAATGAAAAACTGTACTGCTATATATTAATACAGTTTTTAAATGCTCATTGAAGTGTACTAAGTATAATGGGTTAGTAAAAACAAAGGAAAATTTCCAAACCACGCGATAAATACTGTCATAAGAAAACATGTTTTGAACTTCGGTGCATTTCAGTTCTTAAATAAAGGTAGAGAACTGTATACACAATTTTGATACACTATCATTCACGAGTATCTCCCGTTTGTTCATATCGTTAAAACGTTTCAATATTCAATAAGTATCAATAAGAGTCCTTTTACATAACCATACATTATCTTTTAAACTACCAGCTCCTAAACTGTTTGTTTATTTTATATATCAATTAGATCAGAATGTTTTCACTTTGCCAACTCGCAAAATATTACTCCCATTTTGCTTTGGGATTATTGTTCTGTAAGAAAAAGAAATCTACGGCACGGATATATGAAAACTCTGATTAATGTTGTTTGGTAATTATCTGCCTTTATTTTTCTTTGAGATTAAAGTTCTTGAACATTCTGAGTCAAATTATTACTTTTCTGCGGGGCATTTATCACCTGTAATGATAGCTATTTTTAAATGTTAAAATATACTCTGTACCAGATACCGCCTGCGTCATTCAATGACAGTAAATTGTATCATAGTTTGGGGACCTTTCTGTTGAAAAAGTGTCAGAGTTAAATCGTATACATATACATGCACAGTGCGGTAACTGGAGTGCAGGTATCAGTTACCCGCACTCCAGATAATGCCCGTGGATTGGTTCAATTTTGCCGGGGTTTACATATTGTGACGGCAGAGAAAGAGAAAGGGGCAGAACTATCATATTCAAATGCTCGTTCATTGGTTATTTTTTTTCCGGGGTTTCATATTATGACAACAGGGAACGTGCTGTCATGTTTGACTATGATACAAAATAGAGAGAACACCAAAACACTCGGCAATCTGATTAATACT